ACATCTCTCCTGTGCTTTCCAGAGAAAGCTCCAGGCTGCCCAGGATTTGGGGTCCCAGGGAGGAGTAACCCCTGCCCCTCCTTTCCCCACCCCACCCGCTCTAGAGAAGAAGGTGAAATTGTGAAATTTTACCCCGGACTGATGCCCGTCCTCAAGGATAAACAATTGGGCTGTTAAATGCTTTGAAATATTGAAGAAGAGAGATGTGGTGAATCAGTTAAAGGCAGCACCGCTGGCCCGGCTGGCGCCAGAGTGCTTTGTAGAGCCCAGCAGAGGCTTTCGGAGCACCTGGGCTGGCACCGGCATCTGCCCGCTGCCTCCTGCACTTCAGGGCGCCCTTTGTTAGGCTCTGCTCCTACTGAGGCTTCTCCCACATTTTGTAGCCCCAGAGGGAGATATAATGAGTAGAAGTCAGGCCCAGCATTTTCAAAGCGCGCACAGGTTCCCAGGCAGAGGGCGCAGCCGTGGCTCTATTCAGCCAGGTGCCTTTGAGGTGTGAAAGGCGTCCCCATGGGGGTGTGCATGGGGTCTGTGAGCCGGGTGCCCCCCACTTCTAACTCTATTTATTTCTGTTTATAAGAGCCAAGTATGGTTTATGATTCTGCCTTGGAGCTGACATTTTCATGCTTCTCCATGGGGGCGAGCTGAGCTGGGAGCGGCTTTAGCCAGCATCCTTGTTCCCCTGAAACGCTTTTTCTATGAGAACTCACAGTCTGTCCCCCCTGCCCCTTGGGGGATGGAGAGGACTTGGACAGCCAGGTGGAGGGAATGAGGTGTCCCTGCAGCAGCTGACCTGGACCGTATGTGGAGACAGGAGCTGCCCCTTTCTCCTCACCCTGAAGTAGAGGATTCTGTGCCCTTCTTTGCAGCACAGGCTGCCCAGCTGCCTCTGCCTTCCTCTGCCTGGGGACTCTCTGGCAGCTGCCAGCCTAAGTCAAGCTGGAAGTGCTGGGGAATTACCTACCCTTCCCCCCAACCCGGGGGCCACAAGGAGGTGGTATAGAGAAATGCCAGATCCTTCTCATCGGTGTCAGTCCACACTGGCTCTTGGATTTCTCCGTGTGAGATGATGCTCCAGCTGCCCACAGTGGTTGCTGGCTGGGTGACTTGACTTTGTTGATGTCTCCCTTCCCTGCTCCCTGTAGCTTCAAACGAACCACATGGACTCATGTCCTCTTCCTGACTGCTATTTCCAGGGCTGAGCACATCGTAGGTGGTTAATAAATATTTCTCAAAAGATGGAAAACCTAACTCACAGGGCTGTAATGAACCAAACAATAAAATGAGCACAGGTGTGCTGGGAATTTGACAGCACAGGGCAGGTGGAAGGACGGCCCGGGAAGCGTCCTTGGTGTGGGGCTGTGCCTGCAGAGGGCAGTGAGTGCCTGGTCCCTGTGCTTGTCTCTGTAGTTCCTGTGCACCAGCTTGTCCAGACTGAGTCCCCCCAGGAAGGAACAGTGACCTGGAAGACATATCACACATACATTAAGGCTTCTGGAGGTTCGGTATAAAAATGACGGGTTTCTTGATTTAATTTGCATTTTAAAAATCCTGCCTTAAACTGTTGGGTTCACATTTTATGATTTCTTTAACAATTACTCTCTTTATGCCAGGGCCATTTATCAATGCTTTTATTTTTTCCTCTCTCTAAAAACTAAAGTCTGATAATACAGCCTTTTAAATGGAATCATTCTTTATCTCCATTAAAGCTGCCAGACTCTGCTTTATTGAAGCTGAGTGAGCAGCGGCGAGAACCAGCTATGGTTCTGCTCCCTCGCACTCCAAGGAGGGTTGCAGCAGAGTCAGCCCGCTGCCTGGCTTCCCTGCAGGCCCCATCCCCACCTCGGTGCCAGACAACTGTAGCTCCGTTCCCTGTCTCTCCCTAACAAGACTGGGTTGTATTGGTTTTTAACTCAGAAGTAACTGAGTTACTTCTATTAAAGTGTTCCTTGCTGGGTTTTCCAGTATGTTTGCTATATGGACCCATATTCTGGCCAGGTGGGACAGATGTCCCCACTGGGGTACAGGGGCTCAACACCAAGCTGTGTGTCTTGTCTGCCTCACCAGTTCCCAGGGGTGGGAGTTCTTTCCTTGAAGACTTAGATTTCCCATCAGGGTTAGGCCCTGAGA